TCAAAGCGGGAAGGTTTGTTGATGTTTTACGACTTTTAAACCTTTATGTCTGCAAGGAGTTGGATTTCTCGCGCAGCATTTTGAACTCTCATTTCGGCTGAGTTTCTTGCGACAAATTGAGCTGTTGAGCGACTTTGCAAAAATGTCTTTCCGGGTGACCAGTTGTCTCAGTCAAGATGTTGTTTTTTTTCGTATCCAGGAGCCAGGTGTTCATTTTCCCGACTCGCCTGGGGCTCGGCTAGGCTTGGCCGTCATGTGGATCAGTGACTTCCAGGTTCCTTCCTGCTTGATATAGATCCTGATCATCCCTTCGGGCGACTTCACCATATCAGAAGGTGCTAAGACCTCCCAAATCCTCCCCAAGCATCTTCTCAAAACATCGTTGGAGCCCTAGCCCAAGACACTCCATAGGACTGCCGCCCCAGACAGACCCCTGGTCAACCACCCTTGGCCGTTTCTCGGCAGTCCGGACTGGCAGTCCCAGGTCCAGGTCGTGTCTAGGGATCCAAACTGATGGGACTCGGGATGGATCTCTGGGCCCTTCGGGATCGGATGAGCCGCCTTGACCAGGAAGAAGGAGTCAGGGGTCCACCCGCTGATGGTCTACCCGGCTACCCGGTAGGCTCAAGTGTATAGCTGGTGGATTCTTAAGGTAAAGTGGTCCAACGCTTAAGGGAACCGACGGATCTAGTCCAACACCCACCGGGAGAGATGTGCTTTTCTGTCGTACATGGCATTGGCACCGTGTCAGACAAAGAAGGTAGTCCAGACTCAGACAAACTGAATCAATACATATATATATATAATTGTATCCCAGACACTTCATGTATACAGGGGTCAATGAGTCGAGATACCTATAATATAATGTATACTTCTATTCATATAATATCATTCGATAGCTACTAATTAGCATAGTTTCAAGGGTCAATGAGTCGACTGAGTCAATGTAGGGTCGACCTAGGCATATATATATATATATCCATGGAGTGTTTGTTTATATACCATACCATATCATATATAAGTCATCCGTACAGTCATTGACGGATCATTTTTGGGACAGAAAAGACGGAAAAGAGATTCACCTCAAGTCAGGACATTCTGCCTGCCCTCCTGCTCTCCACCCCTCCTACCGTCCTCTCAGGTACCGAAACCTCAAGGCAGCAGACTCAGACGTGACGACCGGATAAACGGCACGTTCGGTCCTTTGGAGTCTTCCCGCCCTCGCAGTGCCAGCCGAGCATTGCTCTTCTGCCTCTGGGGGGTGAACATGAATCAAGAGTCTACATGAAGCACTACTGCGTGGTGAAACCGATGTTCGATGGGATCATTGAACCCACTGAGATCCACTGATCCTCATATTCTTCTAAAAGTGAGTTGAAATATGTCGAAACCATCAACCCTAAGAAAGGCCTGGCCGTTCGTGGTCGCGTGTGGTGAGGACTCCAGACCCGCCGCTCGCCGCAGCCGAGTACTTCAGCGGCTCAAAACGTTCTACGTCAGCGACTTTCCTCGGCCGAGCCGTTCGCGACCCGCGGGGCACGCGGGGCACGTGGCTCGGCCGAGTCTTCCGTTTGGGTGCCACACGCGCGCCGTTTGGGTGCCACTGGATGAAGGCGGAGACTTAGGATCAAGTGGGTGAGCTACTTTCTGGAGCTCTTCAAACATGTATTGCACAGCTCATGCTCCGTGCCCCTTCCAAGGTGCAAAGCACCTCAGCCTCAGTCTTTGCGCTTTTATATTATATATAATCTAATGTCTTATTTATAAACATATTATATATGCATTATTATTCCATGCTAGTTGAGTTTAGTTTCCCTGGAGATTCCCTGTTTTGATGTTCCAAGTATCCTTGCCGTGTAGTCTATAAGTTATAAGTAGGTCTGAAACATTTGCTTTGGAGTTCCCAGTGGCTTCATAGTAGACATAGTACATAAATGAGTTTGGTATGATCTCGTTCGTTCGCAGGCTACAGCAACTCAGAGAGGGCATGGCAGGGGAGCCTAGGTGCTTTTCAAGGTGTTTCGATGAACTTCCTCCTAATATATATAAGTACATATATAGTTATAAGATGTAATAAGCTCTAGTTATGAGTAGTTATATATATAATCATATCATTTCCCATGTTTGAACCAAATCCCAAAAGGTGTTTTGAATGATGCCGTTTTGAGACCCCCATGACGCTACTCCTAGCATCTCGGATCCCATGGACATCGACTCCAGGGACACTACGATGGAACACATGTCGACATCACCAGCACACAACCGGATGGAACGCATCAGATGGACGTGGGTTTACCCACCCCTTGTTCGTGGAAAGCAGCCTTCCGAGGATCCATTGTCCACCTTCCAGGCTAAGTCAGACGAAGGAAGATGGTGTGTGAAGCTTCTGACGTCTGTTCCAAGGTCTTGGCTACTGTACGCGAGGGCCCGGCCCAAAGGTGGGGGGTGTCAGCGTGTGTGCCAAGCTCCAGCTGTCTACTCAGGGTTTCTGCCATATCGGTTTGGACATCTTTGGAAGCTTTCACCGAAGGCGACCGGCCAGTCCGAAGGCTGTCAGAAGGTTAAACAGGAACAGCTTTGGAGACATGGCAGAAAGTTCCCACCAGATATGCCAGATAGCTCCCATTACCCTATTGAAGTGCCAGATCTGGTCCCCCCCACGACCTGTCCGGGTCCACCAGGCCTTCAGTGCTTTCTCCGCTCCAACTCCACCGGAGGTCGGGGCGTAAGAGTGGGTGGATCTAGTTTGGAGGGTGTTGGGAGACCACTGATCTCAGAAATGGCTGGAAGAAGTGATGCGCCTGGCACACACATGTCAGCAGATGTCGCGGCATGTGTTCCAATTCTTCAGACTTACAGGCCTTCCGTTGTTACCATGACTTGCAGAAGGACTCATCCCATCCCTTGGATTAAACCTTTGGAACACTGCCCGCCATCCCCAGCTGATCCCAGCTGATCCAAGGACGAAGACGCCGGGCAAAGCATGGGGACGCGTGGCACGCGTGAAGCCTTGCGCGGGGCACGCGTGAAGGTGCGCAGTCCAAAGCATGAAGCACACACACACACACACTGGAGGTCACATTCGCCCTCTTGGAGGTCACGGTTTGATGCGCTTTGCACTGAAAAGATCTGAAAGGAAGTCCATGTGTTTGTGGCTCAATGTGAGTTGGCTGTTGTGGCTGTGAGTTGGCCGTGGCTCATGCGAGTTGGACGTGGCTCATGTGAGTTGGTTGTGGCTCATGTGAGTTGGACGTGGCTCATGTGTGAGTTGGCTGTTGTATCGATGGGCGGGGGGGTGGTTGTGAGTTTGAAGGCCTCAAACAAAAGAGATGTCAGACATGTGGTGCGGAGTGGAAACCGATCAAGAACCCAAAGGAGAGAATCTTGACCTACGGACTTTGGCCTCTTCACTTTCGCAGCAGCTTTGCCATGCTTCAAGTCCACCAAGGGCAAGGTTTTCTCAGCAAGCAGCAAGGGTTGGCTAAACGCTGCATGGTTCGAGCACACGTGCAGGCAGCCCAGCTGCAGCAGGCTGCAGAGGAGGCTCGAAAGGCATCTTGGTGGAAGGATTCAGTGGGTCAGACAGGTGGCAAACAGATGAAAAGCCTCATCTCTACACTTTGTTGGGAGCAAACGGTTAAACGTGAGCAAACACCAATTTGATAGAGAAACGCATAGAAACGCGATCCTTTTGTTCCAATACAGTACATGCTTTCAACGCAGTTTGCCATTTTGCGGGGGTCACGAATTCCACCGATTGGTGCGGCATGTAGATCTCGATGAAGGAACGTGCTCATCCGGCTTCTGGAGCTTTTGAGAAAGTATATAGCTAAATGGTTAGTAGCATGTCACAACCTTGGGTGTATCACGCTTAACAACGTGTCAAGCTACAACTTAATATTTATCTGTCAATGATCTATATTTGATTTTTTTGTTCTTGTAGAGGTCACCGACCTCTAGGTCCCTAGGTTATTGTAGATTGATAACATGTTCCTGCAGCAAATTATGCCCCACATAACTAGCTTGCTGGTCAGTATAGGGCCTATACAGGGCTACATCCACATCCGCCCCGTGCACTGAGGAAGCTTATGGTGGCCTGCTGGTGCTTGGGAAGCTGCCTTTTGGCTATGCTGGATGGATACCTTTCGTCCCCCAACCCATTGGCAGCCAAATGGCCTTTGAACCGTTTGAAGTCCCGGCCGAGTTTTTTTGCTTGTTGATCCATTCGCCAGTCAAACATGACTTGCCAAAACGAAGTACTGTGCTTAGACCGCTTTTGTTGGTTGACTGCCGGCGGAAGTTTTGTCGGATTATCGACGGAGGAATCGGGGCCCACGACGAACTATGGTCACCAAGGATGATGAAAACATGTCACTGAAGCACCCCCACTGAAGCACCCCTCGTTCGGAAACTCGGGACAGCTGGGAAGTATTTGATAATTTTGATGATTATAGTATAATATATATATATATATGCAACCGGGAAACCCATTGGAGTTCTTTGTAAAGAGGCTGATTTTCTACAAACGCCCACCCCTATCCCCATCCAAGGCTCATCACTTTTGTGGTGCTCCTGCTGATTACTTACCTGGCGCGTATGGCACATTTGCGACAGCTCAATCAGGCACAGAATCAGGCTGGACAGATTGGCGGGCTGAACAGGTCAGTAGCCTTAGAACCTTGCGTTTGATGGGTCATGTCCGTCAAGACGTACTGTCTACCTGCGACAAAATCGTTAGTCATGATGTCAGCGACCCTGCAGGCATGGGTGGCTGAGAGGAGGATTCATGTTCTTTGTGTGTTTGACAGTGTTTGTTCTAATCCGCATGTGTTATTGCATCGTGCTATGTGTGCGTGTGCGCTCGAGCGCCTCTGTTTTTTTTTGTCGATTTCTCCCAAGCGGGCTCACCAGTATAGAGACAAGTTGACGGAACAGGAAAGAAAGCTCATCAAAGGATCCGAGTGTGCACATTCTAGTTTGAGCGTGTTTTACTGTTCAATCATGCTTAAGCTGACCTGAAGTCAGTGCCAATAGAAGCCCGGCCTCACCATTCCTCTTCAGCCATGTCCAATTCCTCATGCCACCTTGTGCGCGCAGCACAGAAGCGGAGGAACTTGACTGGATGGCTGCTCCCATGCTGCCTGGTGTTGTTTAGTTGCTGTGATTTCGCCCATCGCAACTATGTCGGAGGAACTCTCCAAAGACGACTGCGGAACGACCGAATGCAAACCATTCTGCCGCGACTCGTGCGTGAGAGGCGCGCGACCACTCCACGGTCTCCTGATGCTCCGAAATTGACTTCCAGAATTTATGAGGCCAAGTCGGCTGAGGACTTGATGGTGGTTTTGGAAGAGGCGGCTGGTGCTCCTTATTTGAACTACTTCCATGCTTCGGCAGCGTATGTCACGCTGGCCAAGTTTTATCAAGCAGGGCTGTTGCCAGATGAGTGCGCACAATCCCCTGCAATCATGAAGTTCCAGTCTCAAGTTCTGACAATGATTGGAAAAGGTCGTTTCAACGCACAGGCTTCTGCGAATGTGCTTCGGTCAGTCGCAATACTGTTTGGTGCGATGCCCTCGGTGATTCAGCTGCTACCCGCCTTAGCCAAGGTTTTGCCGCTGATAGTTCGGGATATGACAGAGCAAGAACTCTCCAATGGCCTGTGGGCTTCAGAGAAGTTGAAGGATGTGGCACCAGATCAAGTTGCTAAGATCGTTGGAGCACTTGCTAACCAGGTCGCGGTCAAGTCTGAGAGCATGATCCCCCAAGCTTTGTCAAACAGCCTTTGGTCATTAGGGCAGTTGATGGAACTTGTGCCTGATGATGTAAGGAAGATGGCACCAGCACTTGCTGCCCACATCCCAGACAAGGCTGACAAGATGAAACCCCAAGAGTTGGCCAACAGCTTGTGGGCGCTGGTCGTTTTGCAGGGCGTTTTGCAGGATGTGGGAACGATCCAGCTGATGATGAAGCAGGTGATGCGATTGACGCCAAGCGTGGATAGTCGAGAACGGGGCCTTTCTTTGCCCATTGTTGCTTGGGCCTGCGCGAAGTTGGGACTTGAGGATGACGAGCTTCTCAGCCAAGTGCAGCGGTTGATGAGTGCTGGCTCGCAGCTTTCATCGGTGCCTGATTGGGGTGTGTGCGCCTTGGCCTGGTCATACCAGATTCTGGACCAGACGCAGCAATTCGGAGAATTCCAAGGAGCTGTAGCCGCTGAGGTGGCCAAACGAGGACTCTCTGAGGCAGATGTGGAGCGCAGCCAGAAGGGCTATGCGGAATGGTGACTGGCTACCACCTAGTTTCATCACTGCATTGCATTAGGCATCGATCTAAATCTATGCGGCATAGCGCCAGGCAGCATCAGATGACATCGCTGGCAACTTGGGCTTTGTGGATGTTTCTGGTGTTGGCTCCACATCCAACAATGGCATGGATCATATTGGGTTATCCTGGCACCTAGCAACAATACCCAGGAGACAACATGAGATCACTTTTCCCTGAAAAGCCTGGGTTGGAGATGTTGTCGTTGTTGTTGTTGTTTTATAAAACCAATTTGCTGGGTGCAGGTAACCCAAGGTACAGACGAACTTTCTGAAGACTCGAGACGGCGCATGGGCTTCATTCTCATTCAGGATCCTGACCTGGTCGAAAGATCGAGTTGGGAATCTGTGACTGCTATGGTGATCTGGTTGTGGGTCAATGCACATAAAAACTAGCACTTTGATGAGGGACTCAGTAAATACCATGTTTGTACGGTTTTCTGAGTATGCATTTGTTTGTACGGTTTTCTGGTCGTATGTTGGTGTTGGGTGCTCACGTAGAGCAACTGGTTTTGACCCACCATCATTTGAGCATCAGTGTTGGTCCGCTGAGCCTGCTGCAAAGTCCATGTCCGCTGAGCCTGATAAAAAGATTGATGCGGCTGAGTGTGCCATGTATATAGATGTCTCAGGAATGCAACGCCACTACAATGCAGCTGGGACCTGAAGTGACAACAAAACCCATCAATTCTATCCCCAAGCGTTGATCGCATCGTAGGGACCCGAGAACTGTGCGCAGGTGAGGACTTTAAAAGCAGAGCTGAATATGGCCCAGAATGAGAGCGCCACGCTTCTCGCGCGGTGAGAAGCCGGAAGGGGGGTAGTTGGTGCTCGTTGCGGTGCGGGTTGTGAGAGTTTGCCACTCGAAGTGCCAATCGAGTTGGGAGCGTTGAATGAGTCAATGAGTTTACGATTGTTTTGGAACCATGCTTATAGTGGCACCGGTATTTTGACATGTTGAAAGTGCCATACACTACAGTATCGTACACTCTAGCCCCAGGCACACGCAGAGAGCGAGGGAGGGAGGGAGGGAGGGAAGGGAGGAAGAGGATAAGAGAGGGAAGTTGAAAAGGAGCTGGTGAACTTCCCAGATTGTTCAGATGTTTAGTGATAGAGAAGTATTATCCACGGGGATTGCAGGTGGTACTGCTACTGATCAAGTTTGGACATCGCACCTCCAGAAATTGTTGGGCTGATCGTCTTGTTCGGACATCGCATTGGGTCTGTCCTAGAGTCAGTAAACAATTTTCTTTTTAATCTCTGTCTCTACATGTGTGGACAAGGCCCGCAACTGAACCATCATCCACTGATAATATATGATATATAGACCCGAAGTATGCATGTCCAGCCAGGCTCTTCAACGGACTTGTCCATTTTTTTCCACGGCAACTCTGTCGCAAACCCTGTACTCCACGCCTGCTTAAGCAGCAACAGGACTGACTGATAGTCAATTATAACTACATCACCGTTATCTTCAACTCTCGACTCAGAACCATCCCCAGACCATATATGCCATGTCATATATGCCTGTCGACCCCCCTGCTCACCACCCCAATGTATATATGCCAGTCCCTTTGAGATCTCGTGTTTGGAAAGGGTCTCCCGTCTCGACTCCCTTCGTCTCGACTTCTCTCCACTGAGGTTCCAAGGGCAGCGGGACCTTCTCAGGTCTCTCCAGATGGAGCTCCGCAGCGCTCAGAGCCTCGCTGAGCGGCGCGCTGCTGCGGCCGAGCAGCGGGACGCTCGGTGTCCAAGGATCTGCTGCTTGAGGAAAGGGTGGAATAATCATGCATAGAGGTCCGTCTGTCGTGGAAGAAATGCATATTCTTCTTTCCACCCTTCTGCCAGAACTTATCGCTTCTTCCATAGAGGTGGGAATCATCCAACGAGCTGTAATTCATGCAGGCGTGCGTTTGTGCTGCTTTACATGCGAGGATAGCGGGCCTGGGATGGCTCGTCTCAGTCGATCGACTTCGGCCAAACCACTGGAGGGGCTTTTCTTCGGCGCCTCAGACGGCCGATGAAACTTGTTTAGTGAGTTTAGTGCTTGGCGTGTTCGCAACTGGTTCAGAGGGGCAAGTGGCCAAAGCAAGTTTGCCAAGCGGCTCATGTGCATGACATTGCATGACTGTCCATGACTCAACCGTGGTCACATTTCACACCTCGACCAGGCATGCTCTAGAGACCTTAGAAGACAGACAGACAGAGACAGACTTGCAGACAGACAGGCAGACAGACAGACTGACAGACAGACAGACAGACATTGCATGAAAAGATTTTCTTCAAGGACTGACTTGCTTTGCCACTCGCCTAGGCATTCGAGGCCACCGAGCTTCTCGGCGAGCGTGAAGGGATCATCAAGGATCTGGATGAGGAGCTGGAGGCACACCGCGTGGCGGCACCGAAAGGGCGAATGGTGGTGAAGTTCGCAAACACCATAGACACTCCATGGGACTGCCATATATGCCGATCAATTGGGGTGGTTTGGGGGGTCAATGTAGGCATATATTGCATACATGGAGTGTCTGGGATAGATTTGGATGGATTTGGGATGTCTTCTCGTTGCCAGACCTTCTTCACACTGGGGTAGCCGGGTGTTTTTGGGATTCAGCTGGGTGAACCAGGTGCGAGGTGCTCAGATGTGCGGCGCCCACGTTTTGGAGACTTGTGGTCCAGGTTGTCCAATCCAATTTGGAGTCTTTTGCAGAGTGAGGTGCTGGGTCAAATCAGTCACTGAGGAAAAACAAGGTCCTTTTTTTGGGGGTTGGGTTCAGACCCCAGTGCATCCCTTGATGTTCTCACATGAGTTATCCTAACTGGAGTTGTTTGGCGTTGTTTTTGGCCCTTGGTCCACCCCTCCACACTCTCCTAAAACCGGTACCACATCAGCTCCGGTTTGAGCGCGCGGTCACTGACCAAACCTGCGCCGACTCGTCCGGACGGAGTCCCCTGAGGTGGCGGGTGCAGTGGTGGAGCATTTGAGACAAGAGCACTTGGGTCTCAACGACCGGCGCTGTGTGTGGGTTACGGTGCTTGTGGCCGGTCACATGGGTTAAGCCTGGACATGAAAGCACTCCTCGAAAGCCAGAAAGCGCGAATTCAATTCCGTTCATTTGTGATGCGATAGTCATGCGGTTGCATCATTGCAGCATTTGGCTGATTTTGCTGCACAAATTGACGAGGATCTTGCAACAGGCAGCTTCACCAGGAATTCACCTGATTGTTTGCATCAAAGTTAAAAAGAATGCTGTTGGAATCCTTTCCCCCTCCTATACTAACCCATCCCACCATCATCCCACCACACCTGTCTCACCGTTGCGCTTGCCCTCGCGGCACAAGGTTGACCATGGGCGGCATGGAGCTCCGGAGTGCGGCGTTGAAGGACCAGAAGGTCTTGGCCGAGCTATCGATGTTGGTCACCAAGCTGCTGGAGCGTGCCCTGGAGCAGGGTGTTGTGTTGTTTTGTGCGGCGGAAGAGGCGTCTTCCCCTTGAAACAGGGAGCCCTTCGGAAGTCACCACGAGAATGTCCGAACCAAGAGAGCCAGGTGATGAACTCATGCCTTGCCAGACATCTCTGTTGTGTGTAACATTCGCAAAATGCACGTGTCATTTGTTGGAGGGGTTTGTCCTTTATAATGTTTATAGCAACGTTTGATGGATTATTTAGATCATTTGGCCGTTGCTGAAAGAGCCGTTTCGGGGCAGGGCTGCCCAGGATCCTGAGGCTTTTGTTGCAGATCCTTCACTAAAGAGTCGGGTCTTCACCACACGGTGACGCCCAGTCAGACGAAGTCAGACGCGCAAGGCGCAAAGCGTCCTCCCATGGCCCGGCTGGGAACCGGATTGGTTGGACCAAAGGAGTTCGCTTCTTTTGAAGAGTACTTCTATGTGGGCCTTCTCACGATACAGACCCCAAAAGTCCATGCAAAACAGGCCTTACGTGAGGATGGAAGGCCTGGAAGAGAGGAATGGAAAGCAGCTGAGAAGATCTTGTACTGTATACTTAGTATACTTGCATCTGGCATTTGGTATATCTGGCATTTTGTATACTTAGTATACTTGTACTTAGTATATCTGGCATTTGTTCAACTTTGTTCTTTTGGCTTTGGTTGACGATGAAATGGCCTCCCCCCGTGGCATGTGATGAGGTGGCCACCGACGACAGTTTGCAGAGGAAGGCCGAAAAGACTGCCGTTCTGCAGTCTTCTAAATTTGGGCAACCAACCATAACCAGCCTGCGTTTTTTGTTCTTGCCAGTTTTCAGATCAAGCATTTGTTGGTTTTGTCCCATTACCTGTAACAGTCGGTAGACAATTATGACTATGTCGAGAGAAAGGCCTTTACTAACCATCATCATCATCATCATCATCATCATCATCATCACAATCATCATCATCAACTGAATCCTGCCAATAGGAAAGACCCACAGCATTTGAATCTTCAGAAGGCAATTTTGTTTAGATGGTTCAAATATGAGCGATCTCAATGACTACACTCCAACTCCTCACTGGAAGTGGACACAGGCCGACAAATGGGAAGACGAGCTGGTCCTTTACGACCGTGCCGCCTGCGAATGAGTAGATCATCAACTCGTGTTGCTGTTTCTATTTGTTCGAGGTGAATCAGCAGAGACATGTTCAAATATTTTATCATCCGTGGGTACTTCACTACCAAGCAGCTGAATGGAAACCGATGCTCCAGGCCTGATCCGAGATCTGCGGCAAGAGATCGAGGTCCGGGTGCGCGAGGGCTAAACGATGCTCTTCCACCCCTGCTAAGAATGATCAATGGGCTAAACGGCTAAACTGCATGGTGTTTTTTGGACTCATGCGCGGGCAACGGATGGTGTGGGAGAACACGGAGAACATACTCCGTGTTTGGCGAACCGGTGGGGATCGGACGGAGAGCAAGACCCTCACGATGGGAGAGGACGGAGGCAAACCCATGGAGCATGGAAGCCATTGGATGAAAGTGGAAGTAGAACAGGCCGATATTGGCGGGAGGGTAGCTGCCTGGTATAGCATGCATACGCACGGGGTGGAGACTTTGGCCGCTGGTTTGGGGGTTGCTTCACAAGCAGGTAGTCACATTGACATGCTAATAGATCATGACCAAGTATCATGAGCCACTGCTCTTCCACCAAAGGGAGAATCCAAAGCCCAAGT